ATATATTTGACGACCTCCGTGGCCGAGTGGTTTGTACGCCGGGTTTCATGACGTCGCCGACTCGAGAGGTCCCGGGTTCGAATCCCGGTGGGGGCAGATATTTGTGTGATGAAAACGAGCATTTGTTCTCCAGTCATGGATGTTTAAATATGTATTTCTATATAAATATACTTATATATGTAAAGTATGTGTATTCTATCCGTTTCCATAGTATCCCATAACACAAGCCTTATAGTGCTTACTTTGGGGCTAGGCTAATTGGTGTGAGTGTTGGAAATATTTATTTATTTATATTAAAATTGTTCAAAAAATAACATGTTTGTTTCCAGGGATACGTTTTAAGCAAAAATCTAACGGAATAATGTGAAAGTTTCTATGTTTGTTACTCAAACACGCAAAAACGGCTGAACGAGTTTGGATGAAATTGGACATACAAATATACCTAGTTTATAAACTTGCATTAATACAAGATACTTTTTATGCCGGAAAACTTAAGGTTCCTGTGGGATTCTAATAAAAACTAAAGTGACCGAGGACGAAGACGCGGGTGGGTGGAAGCTTGTATAATTATCGTGTTTTTGTAAAGTTGTGTTAAAGTGACCATACACACTACGAGAAATCGTTACGATTAGACTGTACAGTTCGAACGGTATCGATAAATAGTAGCGTGTATATTTGTTTCTTAGGTTTTCACGCACATCACTCATTAAATAAAACTAGTTTTTACGGGTTAATGCACGAAACTTTATTTATTTATTGACGTTTCGTAGCCTTTACAGGCTACGTCGTCAGAATCAAATTTTATTTGATTATTAGTTTTTTAGTTTATTAGTTTTACGTAGCGTGTATGTTATAAAACTGCACAGTTTCCTACGATTTTTTAAGACTGTGCAGTCGAACGGAGCAATACGAAAATTTCAATTGATTAATCGGAATCGGATGAACTGTGCCGACTGATCGTAACGTGTATGCGCTCGTTCAGTTTTCGTGTTCAGTTTTGTAGTCAGTTGCAGCTCGGGTAGACGTGCGCACACGTCATGGCGTCTCAAACTAATCGCTAATGGCTAGAACAATTTATTAAGTTACTAGAGATCGCCCGCGACTTCGTCTGCGTTAACTTAGTTTCTTGAAAATCCCTCTGGAACCTAACATTTTTTTCGGGATAAAAGTAGCCTGTGTGTGAATCTAGGGTGTCAGCTAACTCGAATGGTCTTACTCTAGAATATCGTTTCGGAAACTTTTCATTTCATGTTTGAAACAATTAAATAAATATTTTTTAACATAAAAACTGTTCTTTGACAGAATCTTTAAAGGATTTAGTTAAATAAATTAATTGATTGTATAGTTATAACAGTTTTAATAATTATTAAGAACTATTATATCTTACAAACAAAACCATAATTATAGTGTCCTTATTCACTGTATAACTCGGCATTTGTTTTAATGGAAATTAGAAATGTAAAAAATATTAAATCAATACTAACATTTATACATTTCATAAATAAAACTAGTTTTAGCGGGTTAATGCACTAACTTTATTTTTTTCCGTACCTTTGCTTTTTAATAAACTTAAAAGTTTGGGTATACGGGGCGTACAATTGAATCTTTTAAAGAGTTACATTCAGAAACGTAGTTAATGTGTCAAACTAGATAAATACATAAGCTGCAAATTACTCGTGCTCTGCGGTGTCCCACAAGGTTATATTTTAGGACCAACGTTTTTTCCTATATATGTAAATAACCTTTGTAACCTTCATCTTGGCATGGGGCATATAGTATCATTCGCTAATGAAACAGTTTTGGTATTCGTTGGTGACACGTGTAATGAGGTTCACCAAGTAGCACAGGAAGGCTTAAACAATATTTTTTGGCTTTAAAAAAATAAGCTTTTATTAAAAACGAATAAAGAGAGGGGTTTTCTGCTCGAATTGAATCGAAGCGCCCATCTAGGGAAGATAATCCCACCTTACAGAAGATCACAGTAAAAATAAACTATGTACCTATGGTGTTGTATTTCTGGCAGTGATTAAGGTTCCAGGGTTCCACGGGGCATAGGATCAGGATAGGCAACGGTACGAGTGAAACTTTTGGTTTCGCAAGCGTTTATAGACTAAGCATTAATGTCGCCGCTTACCATCCAGACGGCCTATACTAGTGATGTAAATAATGTCATTTTTTGAACATTCGCGAAAGCGAATGCGAATATTTAGTTTTTTTTTTAATTGGCGCCAATTGTCTATGGCATGGTGGCAGTCTCATTCGAATTGCCGAGTTGATATGAACTCATCCGACTGAAGTGTCATTCCGCTCGCACCGGTCTTTCCGTAAACAAGACAAGTGAATTTTGAGGTTAGTGATTGTGAGTGGTAATAGTGATTTATTAACATGAGTATATCGAAATCTAGTGAAACATGGACTTCTTTCACACTTTGTGATGCTGAACGAGCTAAATGCAAACTGTGTAACAATGAATATTCAAGGAAAGGCAGAACTACAACTTCTTCAAATTGTTTTTTCTAATATTCATATTCGCAAAACATTCGCAGAGATTTTGCGAATGCGAATGTGAATGCGAATATTCGTTACATCACTAGCCTATACGCTTGATTGCCACCATTTAAACTTGAAAAAAATATTATATTTACTTGTAATAAAATGAGTCATAAGATAGAGCACAAAACAGTCAAAGAAAACACCTCATTTTTAAAGTTACTTGTATGAAAACCACTTTTAATTTTGATCTTTTTCTTATTTTTTGTGATAACGACCACAGTAATATTAATATCCTGTGCAAATTTCTGCTGAGTACCCCTCAGGTGTACCCTTGTGTATCTATTTTCAATCAGGAGATAGTGTTCTGTTACAGATAAACAATGACAGGCAGTGGAGGAATACTGCTAGGGTTCCGTCTATCACCTATAGCAGAAAATTTTACTAGAAATAAAAACGTTTTAGAACGAAAATTAAACCGCCGATAAAATAATAAGCCTTTTTTATTTTTAGCCAAATCAACATTTGGAGTCAGTACCATACCCACCCACCCAAGTAGTAACTAGGAACTCAAACCTATCAGATATACATGGCACCTACTCTTAATATTAATTTGGATAAAGATAAAAAAGGTTTACTTTGTTATTTTCTGCTTTAGAATGTTTTTCGTCGGTTTAATATTGCTTAAGAGTTTTTTTTTTATGTTATAAGGGGCATACGAGCAGACGGCCCACCTGATGGTAAGTGATCACCGTCGCCTATGGACACTTGCAACACCAGGAGTATCACAAATGCGATGCCGGCCTTTAAGGAAGGAGTACGCTCTTTTTTTGAAGGTTTTTGGGTCGTATTGGTCCGGAAAGACTATTATTTATGTGGCTTTAATTTTTGTAATATACAACTCGGCATCAAAATCTGTGAGTGAACTACAACTCGGCATCGAAATCTGTGAGTGAACTACAACTCGGCATCAAAATCTGTGATTCAAAAATCACCTCTATTCCTCCACCCTTAGCGTAGGATTTTTGTTTCCAAATTTATCCAGGACTTTGAGGTATACCCTATCCAATAAAACCAGTCAAGTGCGTGTCGTGTCACGCGCAGTGTAGAGTTCCGTAGTTGATCGTCGTCCCTACAATATATTTAGGAAAGAGTCTATATTTTAAGCTTCTAAGTCACTTTTAATGTTTTCTTCTAAGGATTTTCAGTCAGGTCAGAATTTTTCTAAGACATAAGTTGAATAATCGTCCATACTTATAATAGACATCCGCCCCCATCGGGATTCGAACCCGGGATCTCTGGAGTCGGTGACACCATGAAACCCGGCGTACAAACCACTCGGCCACAGAGGTCGTCAGTAAATGTAAAGGAGGCCTCCTCTAATTCAACGAAAAACGAAATTTCGATCCAAACTTCGCACTTTTCTTACCAGTGGCGGCGCTAGGCGTCAGCGACGTTGGCCACCGCCGACGGCCTCGCGCCTCAGGGGGCCTCGCAAAAAAATTTTACAAGTAACCTATTTATTTTCGTTTCTCCTGGCCTGGCTTAGGTAGCCGACCCCGAACAATTCGGGGAAAAAGCTAAGCAGATGATAATGACTTTTATTATTTTCGAACACGTGCGTGATGGAAGCGAGTAGTACTTTACGGGTATTCAGAATCGTCTGTCTGGCAAAACTATTTTTGTAATTTTTCTATGTTTGTAATTATTTTTTGTCATCATTTGATTATCAACAATAAAACTCGTTTACTCATACGTTATTTTATAATTTGGCTTACTTAATTTAACGGTTTTTTACTGCGAAGTGAAATAGGCCTCGCGAACTTGATGTCGCCGACGTCCACATGTGGTCCAGCGCCGCCACTGTTTCTTACTATGTTTCTGGTTCGTTTTTAATTATAATAATATTCGTCATCAGAATATAGATTGAGATGTAAATTAGAAAATTTCATTCACAGAAAGCCTCAATTTGATAGTTTATCGTTCAAATTAAGTCCAACCTTAAATTGACGAAATCAAAGGACACCCGGCATTTTGTGCCAAAGTTGTATACTTTTTTAATTTTTTTATCTGTGTTTCATAATTGGGTAACGTAGTCTGGCAATATTTGTCATCAGCAGCTAGCTGTCAATGTCAAATACGTAGGTTTGTCATCAAAAGGGTTTTTATATCAAAAAATATTAATCATTAAATAACTTCTTTCCACGATTCACTAAAAATAAGGCAAAAGTAGTTTTATGTAGCAAATAATTTTGGCTTTATTTTGAGACCAAATTCAACTGTATACAAGTTTAGCATTTTTTCTATGAAAAGTGCCGGGTCTCCTTTCGTTTGAAGTTCGTTATCGAAAGTTCATTTATTCATTTATTGCATTCTTGCTGTTTACATGCTGTTACAAATATATATATATATCATTCCAAACAAGAACCCAGTTAGGGTAGTTCGTTTCGGAGAAAGAGAGATAGACCGCCCAAGTGTTGAAATCAAAATAAAAGACAAGCAAGCATCATCATTTCCAATATTTTTATTTTTAAATTAGTGGCAGTGAAGATGTGTTCGGGTACGTCGCTCGCGTCCAACAGAAACCGGTACTGCCTCGCATAGGTACAAACATACATGCCTGTCCAAATACAAAAATAAATTTGGAACAACGATCAATCTGCGTTGCCGCCCATTTTACACGACTAAACTTAACTTAAACTAGGTACGTATGAAGTCCCTGAAACGTGCGAGCGTTAAAAAAAAAGTTCCAATCACGTGAAATTTGAACTACCTACTTCTTTAGTTTTTTTTAGTTTTTTTCGTTTGAAATAAAAAAAAAATGTATTTAATAATTTTCTCTCACAGAAGTTAAGGGAAAACTTTTATTAATTTACTGGACTGACTGAGACAAATTTCGCTAGAAAATTGCTTCTTTACTAAAGAGAGCATGTCAAAATTTAATTCAATTATATCAGTTCAGATAATATAATAGGGGTGATGACGGGGTACAGTAAACGAAATTCTATTTAGTCCGTCAGTTAGATGATCAAAAAATAATGGACACATATTTTTTCTTTGGGCAATCAACCTAAAAATGACAAAGTTATAGCGCGTCAAAGTTTGGGAGTAGGGGCTCGTGACGTCACTTTTTAGTGAATTTTCACTTAAAAGTGTACTCAAACGTGACGTCACGCGACTTTTCAAATAAATATATCTCTGCAATGTTTATGTTATGTGAAAAAAGAAAAAATACTAGTCCAATACTTTTTGATAATCTACCTGATAAATGAAGAAAATAAAATTGTCATCATCCCTATTGAATTCATTTCATCAGATGCACATACAATGTAATCAATTCAGTGACTGTTTTTCTTACAAACGGCTTGAAAACCGACTCCCGCACGCGTGGTATTTTGAAGATAAATAATTAAATTGAAACTATTCTATTTTAATGAAAGAAGAACGCTCAGCGTTCTACTTATAGAGTTTTGTCTCAAAAATACAAAAACTATATATTTTATTAATAAACCAACCATTAATAGAATTGCCGGCCGATGAAATATAAGTCTATCCATAATAAAAATTATACAGTCATAGACGTCAACAGTTACAGGGACTTCAAAATCCATTTTAAATGATTTTAATAGTCATTCTAAAGGTGTCGACATTTTGTTTTTCTTTTTTACAATTGTAAATTGTTACTGAAAACCATGTTTACCTTTTTGGCACTAAATGAGCTTCATAATGTATTTCATGATATAAAAACAATTCTGAGGCCTTATTGTGTTACTTTTACACTTTCTGTGTTCGCTTAACATAGTTGGGAACGAGAAGACACGTGTCTATGGAACTTGCATGTTCCATAGACACATGTCTTCGACCCCTTCAAATTGCAAAAAGTGAAAAAGTTATACAATCAGTCCCTAGTCTATTCTTAATATAACATATTTATAACTATCAATAAAAATTCGTTATTAATGTAAAATCATATACTGTTATGTTATGAAACTAAATGTAAGTATAATTGAACCTTTTTTTCTCAATTTTTTGTATGTTAACATAAATGCTATTTAAAAAAAAATCCTGACTCGGTTAACATAATCTCAAAAAACCACTCAAAAAAGTATGTTTCCTTTAACTAATTCGTGTATGATTTTTAGCAATGCAAACATACATAAAATGCAACCAAACACGGTATGGTCACGGTAATAATATCTATACAGTATTCTATCTTCATACAAACGGTCGGAAAGCGAGTCATACCTACGCCACTCGAGTTCGATGGGCTCTCGGCGGGCACCCAGTCGCGAAATGCGCCGCCGCGCCGCAACGACGACCGAACGGTCTGAATTGTTTTTTATGCAGTTAGCCGTGCTTAAACGTGCGTTTTGTATTGTAAATATTAACTTGCAATATAGGTAGGTATATAACTTTGTTTGTTCGGGTGGAATCTTGGAACTCAATTTTGAAGCAGATATCTTCAACCGGTTGAGCTGAAATTTTGTATATACACGTTTTGATTAAAAAGCACGGTTAGCTGTGTGACGTCATTCTAAATCCAACATGGCGGAATAGTTATTTTTAATGCTTTCCTACGATATAGGTATATGGGCTTGCAGAGAATCTTTCCATATAAAATAAAATATTTACAATCACAAAACTAGAAAGAAACTCAATTATGTAGATGAAATTAAAATACTGTAGGCGGGCGGCCCTACCGCGTGCTGACGCAGCGCTCGGCCGTAGGCATTTATTTCAAGGACAGGGCGGAGTCACAATACTGTATAGATAATATTACGGTGGTATGGTGTCGGCAAGCTTCTTGTGCAAACCACAGGCAAATAAACTAGCGCACTAGAAAAGATTTTGCATGTAAAATTGCTGCTGCGCATTTTACTTTGTCTATTGTCGTTGCCCAAGAAGTTAGTCGGGGTGTACAATTTATACGTGAAATACATTATAATAATAATGATACACTGACGGAGAAAAATAAAAAAATCTTACACAAAAATCTCGAAATTATTACACAACTAAAATTTATATTTTTTCCCCTCCCCAATTCACAGCAGTATTCACAGTAGGCCTAGGCCTATTGAATACGAACTTCACTAAATACTTTGAAATATGTTCTAGAAAAAAATCCAAGCGGACCAGGCAGTAGACGCGTGGAATTTTTTCTAGTAATATTCTCTTTAGATTTCAACATCGAGCAGTTACATTATTAAAAAAATTACAATGTTCCTTTATATATTTTTTCTCTTTCTAAGATAATTTAAAAAAAAAAGTTTCAATGATCTACAATGAACTCTTTCGTTAATATCAAAATTTGCGATTTCTGTGTACGAATTTTTATTATTGTTCGCCAGTATTTAACATACAAAATAATTTGGCACATTTTAAAAAAAAGACAAAACTGCACTCTAAAAATTGTACTAATAATTCGAATCGTTTATGCTTTGAAGTCGTCTAAACATTCACAATTTACGTATTTGTCAAGTCTATGATATTATTATTATTATTACGAGGGATTTATTTAAAAAAAAATTATAATATATATTGCAAAAAACGCAAGTTCGTTCTAAAAACTGTTGGTATCTTTACGTGGTATGTTAATCTAATGTTATATTATGTAGGTTTATATTATTCGATACACGGCGCCTTCTTACGGTATATGTTTACAACGATATTGTTACGGCTGCGTTGGGCGGGAGGCAAACTCAGCTTTCGCCTCTTAAAATCAGTCCTGGGTCAGGGCGCCACTCGCCGCAATATCTCACGTCAGTGCACTTTCAGATCTTTCAAGAAATTCTGTAAAAAACGCCTGCTCTTTTTGGCGCGTCCCATGAATTTGAGGAGCCATATTCAACAGCATCATTTTTCCATGATTTTTTTATCAGAATGTATTAAAATAAAATTGTAACATCAGGTTTTTCACATAATGAGAATGTCGTCACGAAGTTGCAATAATGGTGACACAGATAATGAATGTATAGCTTTTCATCAGCGGAAAAAAGACGATATTTAACCCTTTAAACATCTTGTAGATATTTAGCTTGGTAATTCTATATTTCCTTTAAGTGGCAAAAAAAACAATATTTCTCCATCAAAACTTAAAATTCCTGGTGACGGCATGAATTAATGAAAATGCAATTGAACGTGTGAAGCTGCCGATAAATATCTGGCTGGCTCCTCAATACCTGCCTTAGATGCTTAATCCAAGTTACACCAATCTATATTTTATATATTGAAATTTATCATCAGCCAGCGGCGTTTATAGCGCGGGAGCCCCGACACAAAAAGTACGTTCTGAAGTCTACAACGGAGCATCGAGTGCCACGACTGACATCCAAAAAACGCTGTAAGAAATGAGCAAAAAACCTTTTTTTTTCTATAAATATGAAATAAACATGCCTTTTACATCTACGGCTTAATTCAACAAATATCCTTGAGCAATCGTTTCATCAGATCCATTCCCGAGATTGCACAACCCAAAAGCAGCGGGTATTGTTATACTGTCAGTCGTGACACCGCACTGTCAGTCGCACCCGATACAATAGTGGACAAAGCCGCGTGGCCACAAACCATTCATAATCATAATACCTCATTATTATCCTATACACATAAAAATATTAAAACGGAACGTTTCTCAACTACATATTATATAATAATGTGCGTAACGAGCCGTAACATTATAGACTCACCATTAGCTGTACAAACGAATTCTCGTAATAGGAGTAACAGAAGGATCGCTCGCGAGCCGCTCGCGAGCCGCTCGCGCACAGTGACTTCACGGCACGCCGGGCGCAACGGCCCCAGTGTACCTCAATAATATTTAGAATATTCTCGTCAGAAACATCGATAATTGAGCACCGAGAAAGTACAGACAATAAGACATTCCAAAATTTGAAGTCACAAGCGCGTCCGTTTACAAGAAACACTAATAAATTTATTAGTTCGCGGTCGCTCACATCAACACGTATTCCACAGCTCCCGGTCTAATAGATTGAGTACATATTCTTCATACTGTACTTTTGAAAAAGACCTTCGTTTAGAAAACACTCTATGTTTGAAATTAACGTTTCCATTTATTGCGTTCAAAGAAAGGTGAATTTTGTATACAGTTTTTTTTTCAACAAATCACGATATCCGATTAAATTATATACAATAACAATGCATTAGAAAGAACATCAAAAGACAAAGGAAACGGTTCATGAAAACTTTAAACACCGAAGAATCTATCTAATACTGTAAAGTACAGATGCCATTACGATTTTATTCGAAATATTAATTATTTTTATATAAATATCTATATCAACGTAAGCTAGGTTTACATAGAAATTAATTATGAGGTAGTGTAGTTGAAATGTCCCATTTTCATGAACCGTAAAAATATACAAAGAAAATGATAAACAGTAGATAGATACACAAATGCCACGTGTACTTGCGTGAGTACATACATACAACGGAAGGTACATCAAAAATGTTAGGATACATTCGCTCATTGACGCCAAAAATGAACATCACGCCACCAACCTCAACGAACTGAACTATACCTCGTCACTTACAAGTGCAGGTAATCACGTATTCAATAATCATATTAATTTAATAATAATAATCGTTAATATTACACCTTAAATATCTATACAATTTATGAGCCCCGGCGAGGCTGTAAAACTTATTAAATTTCATTTATATCATACACAAGACGCGTCTCGACCGCGCCTCCGTACTATACAAAAATTAAAAACGTTATACAATAATACTACAATACCATAGAGCTAATAAATACAAGAATCAACTTACGACTACCGATGCCGTACGGCACCACGTCATGATGCGGCCACGGTTTATTCGTATTTTTAGTTACAACCTCTTTTATAACATTCAATTTATATTATTTAATTTAATGTAATTTATTAATATCTATTACAATAATGTATGTGCTCTCTCTGAAACAACATCTTGATTTGAAACTTTAACGTATTTTCCCGTAAAGGTTATGCCATTCTCGCGTGCGGTGCACCCTCTCTCGTGTGCGAGAGGCCGGCCTTTGTTAGGCCTCAGTATTCAAAACAGCTCCCATCCCGTTTGCTGATGTTAAACTACATCATGTCGTCGTGAATACATATATATATATATATATCAACCGAATAATCGAACAAATTGTTTACACCTCCGTCATTCAGTAACAAGTATTGTATATTTCGAATACCACATGTATAGAATTAGACGTAATACGATTTTTGTATATTTATTGTTTTTCTGTAGTCTTACACACGATTGCGGTGTTTATTTAGACCTTAACGGCAACGACAATACAGGATGCCACAATGCAGAAGTTCTATTTCAGTAACACATATCTGAAAACATTAGGCCAACTCGAACGTGAATAAATAATACAGCCGCACTGCGAACCGAGCCGACGCGGCCGAAAATAGCCGCTGCCGCATACGGTGCCGCATGCTCGCGAACATGTGTTCGCGGAACATCTAGAGATTTCGCGAGTCGTCGCTGACACATACAAACTCGTTTATTACACAACTAAGAACGTTGACGGTCGATGCTGAACATTTGTGCTGGTGTGTCCGGTGGCACGGCGACATCGGATATAATACATACGCATAACGCTATATAGTGAATGCGGGCGCCCAGCGGACGCGCGTCCACCGGCCGCCGCGCCTGCACCTAAGTAATCACCTTAGAAATCGATAGGAAGTCAGTTTTTACTTACAATAAATCCGCTAGATATTTATTAACTAGGACTCGACGGTACACCTCGCGGCGAACGACGACGCGACGCACACGAGGCGCCACCGTCAAAAATTTCATAAAAGTCTCTAAACATTCACAGCGATTCGTTTCAAGCTCCTCGCTTACGTTACGATCGATCTGGCTTAAAAAGTGTGCACATGTAGCACAATACAAACCGGAACGGATCAAGAGTCGCATTCCAGTATGGCACAGGGGTCGTTCGACAGGGCTGTTCGTTCGATGGCATGGGCACGTTGTGATCTTACGACGCTTCGGTACTCCCGATCTAGTGTGTTCTTCCAGTTCTTCCTTATTCATACGACAGTCGAGGTCCAGTCGCGAGGCGAGCTGGCAGGTCGACAGAGTGTCGCAGGCCCCTGGGAGCGGGGCGGGGCGGGGCGGGTCGTGCGGCGGACGCAGTGCCCGCTCAGCGCGCGGCGATGCGACACAGCGCGTGGCGCACGGCAGCGGCGGCGGCGGGCACGGCGGCGCCGCACAGGCCAGATCAGAGCCTGTCTTCCTCCTCCTCCTCCTCGCCCTCGTCTCCGGCCTCTTCGTTCTCCTCCCGGTATCCCGGGTGCTCGCTGATCGCATAATAGTTCCCGTTGTAGATCACACCCAACTCGCGTAGGGCGTCACCTCGTATCGTCGCCTTTATCGTCCAGTTGTAGCAGTCGTCCGACTCGGACTCGCGATCTAGCCTTTCCACGTCGAGGATCTTCGAGCTCAGTCTCTCGAGAATGATGCCTATGTCTTTGATGGTGAGGTGCCTCTTCTGGTCGACACTCAGCTGATCGATCAACAGCAAGAACTTTTCAGAGGTGACGGCTTCGTCTTCGACTAGCGTGTTCTCGGTCTCGCTTTCTGAAGAGTCGCGCTCGCCGCGGCGTGCCGATTCGGCATCGAGAAACCGCACGTGCCCTTTGGGGCGGCCCTGCGGTGAAGCGCGCGGTTGTGCGTCTTGTATAGGTGATGTGGCGACGCTCTTGTGCACAGCGATACGGCGACCCTCCTCGTGCAGTGCGCAACAGTGGAAGTCGCACTCGTCGGGTGGCGGTCGCGACGGGGCGGGCGGCACGGGCGCAGGTGAAACGGCTCCGGCGCGACACTCAGACGTGTGCACGTGCACCGCCCCGGGCGGGTGGTCGAGGGAGCCGGAGGCGCGTGAGAGGCGGCCGCGCGCCGGACCCGGCTCGTCGTGGTTTACGACGGTGATGTGCGGCGGCGGCGGCTGCGGCCGGTCCAGGGACGTCTGGATGACGAGCGACGGCCGCCGGTCGGGCTTGGCCTGCCGCGAGGGGGATCGCGCAGCCGGCGACGCCTGGGGCCGCTGATCCCAGTGCAGCACCACCGTGACTCGCCCTTTGTTGTCCATGATCTTCCATGAAGGTGTTTCATCGTGCAGTTCGAGAGCGTGGATCGTCTCGCATACTATTTTTGGAATCGCCGATATCGCTGGAAAGAGGAAGAGCGGTGAGTATGGACGCAAGAAAAGGTAGTGGTATCAAAGGTGGAGGGGGAGTGCTCACCAGCTTTGATGACGTCGACGCCCGTGGGGTACCAGCGCTCGCCCTGGCGCAGCAGTAGCAGCACAGTATTGGGCGGGAGCGTGCGCCAGTAGTCACCGTCCTCCACCTGCGTGCCGTCGCTCTCGAGCACCAGCCGCACCGGCTCACTCGCCGCTACCGATAACTTCTCTTTACCTGTACAATAATAACCGGTAAGAACTACAAACTTTTGTTATATATTGCTTTCTAACGAAAGAAAATTAATCAGCTTTCTCACGTCAATAGTAAACGTCTATCGGCAGACAAAGTACTTTCAAAAACCTGTGGCATTCAGTGAAGAAGAGCACCCTACACTACAACACCAATAGGCAATAGATACGAGCAGTCTGATGTTTGAATATTTAATAACCAATTAATTATTAAATCTGCATATTGATCCGACTAGGGTTCGAACCCTGTACCTAGAAGATGACTACGAAGGTCATCAGTAGATGTGGATAAAAGTTACACGTTCAGCACCATTCGCATAACCTTCTTCACCAATCTAAAATCCATTCCAACATCCCGTATATGTAAAGCTCAGGCATGCTAAACACAGCACTCAGCTATGAATATATTTGGTCAATATCCATCTCCGATTCGAGCAGATGTTCCGATCAGCCCTGCCACCCTTAATTGATCACGTTAAAAGCGTTCGACTGCGCGGTCACCGTAGCAGAGGTAGCGTGTTAAGCAGGTCACCGAGCAGACACGATTGACCTGCCGCTAACACAGTTACATGTTCAGCAGAGAGATAACATGCAGGCCACATTCAGAGAGCAGGCAAACGAACATAGATTCGTTAATAATGCAAACTTCGGGGCTTATGAAACCAGCTAAGCGAAGTACGGACGATACTTGCATACTATTTACTTAAAGCAGAAAACGCCTCGTTTTAGGCACCTCGCGCACTAGAGGACCACGATCAGTAGTGGCCGTGGCCGCAACCTCGATCAAAGAAGCCATGGTTGGGCTGCGGACAACTTCGCTACCACGACCACTACTGGTCGTAAAGCGGCCATAATGCTGGTCGTTTTTTTTATTTCATTAATAATTAACTCGTCGTGTTAAGTTGAGGAACGATACGAAACTTATTCACTCACGAACTGTCCGCATGACATAAAGAATGCATGGTCGCTGCCAGACCGCATTCATGGTCGCAAATCTAGTGTGCGAGCCCTCATAATCATAATCATAATCAAAATCATTTGTTCAGTTTAGACTGTTACAAGCACATTTGAATGTCTAGAAGCTACGCCATCGGTTCGTAAATCTACGGCGGGAGACCTTGTACTGAGAAGAACCGGCAAGAAACTCAACAAGGGCTGTTTTTTTCTCCCTGTTTTATCATTTACATAGTCGTGAAGTTGAAAAATGACTACAGAGATGATTCATGAAGTCACCTTTCATTACATAATGTGAAATTATACATTAATTGTTCACCTGCATTTTGATTAGTGTGTCACACAGTATAAATACAAATAGAGTTATTTATCATAGCAAATTATACGTGAGTTGGTTGCAACGATGGGTCGTGGCGACCCGGAGTTCGGCCAGTTGTGTCCAAGTGTGCGGCGTTAATACGTTTTTTTTTGGTAATTTGGTCGCTGTGGCCACTGGTAATGGCGTGGCCGTCTAATGCATGAGGTGCCTTACTGTACTGTATTGTGGCTATATTATTGGTCATCTCATACAACTCAGTACTAAATAGTTTTTCTTTCTATGTCTTTGGTTGCCAATATGAGTGTCCGTTATATTTAGTTCTACTAACAATTAACGAACTTGGTTCGTTTAGCTTTGCTCGCATTGTATACCTTGAAGTCAATTTATAGCCTATTTGATTGAAATGATCTAAGAAACATATGTGTTCTGAGGAGTTACTCTGTCTTATTCCACCTTCCCCTTTCCTTCAGAGGACCACGCACGCTGGCCTATGTTGTCACCGTCTAACTGTGGCCACAATTCCAACGCGTACAAACAAATTTTGAGGCTCATTTCTTTGTCGCACTATCCGTAAATGAAATGTTCTTCCAATAAGATAAAAAAAAAATGCTAAATGTACGGTATTTGCCAAACAGCGCCTAAGAATTCAATAAAGAATACTTTTTGACAAAAAGAAGTGATAACCTGACTGGTGAAGTAACCTCCACAAGTGATGCTTTTGTGCTACTTTCATCCAGCCCACTCCAGCCAGCCTACGAATATCGTCATCCCATCTTGTCTCAGGGCGTCCTACACTACGTTTACCGAGTCGTGGTCTCCACTCAAAGTAGCACAAAATCGGGAGCAGTGGCGTGCATTAGACCTATGTCCAGCAGTGGACGAACATGGTTTGATGATGATGATGAGGATGATGATGATGATGATGATACTTTAGTATCGCACCTATCTGTTCGTTAGTTCTTGCATGAAAGAATAAAAAACATCCATACAAACTTCCGCGCATATAATATTAGTAGGATAGGATAAAATAGAAGGGTATATAACTGAGATGAAAAAATTACAAAATCATCTCAAGTGATTCTAAGCAGCCGTGCTATTCTGTAAGAAAAACTCACTTTTGATTCACTCACTCATGACTTAAAAGAAGAACACGAATCTATATATATAAAACTCAAAGGTGACTGACTGACATAGTGATCTATCAACGCACAGCCCAAACCACTGAAATTTGGCATGCAGGTAGATGTTATGACGTAGGCATCCGCTAAGAAAGGATTTTGATCAATTCTACCCCGAAGCGAAGCGAGGGCGGGCCACTAGTTTCAAATAAATTCAAAATCACACCGGTGAATTCCGCGGTGATATGTGAGTTTTTCTTAAATAATAGCACTGCTGGACTCACAAACTCGCGACTTTCCCAAACCCCTTGAACATTGACAGAAATGCGATTGGATTATCAACGAAAGTGAGAAAAGTTCTTTGATAACCTCATTACAATTACTTTTATCCTCATATCATTTGAATGAGCAGCCAAAGGTCACAAGTTTGAGTCCAATCTGAGATAAGTTGATAGTTTGTCAAAAGTTTAATAAAATACAAGAAAGAAAGAATCGAATCAGCAAATATCCATGCTATAATAAGGACCAGGGGGTCTACTCTATTTCTCCGAAAAGAACTTTCGATAATGAATAAAACTAGTTATTACGGGTTACTGCACGAAAACTTTATTTATTTATTGACGTTTCGTAGTCTTTACAGGCTACGTCGTCAGCCTCTGACATAGCATTCTGACGACGTAGCCTGTAAAGGCTACGAAACGTCAAAAGTTTTCTTGCAGTAACCCGTAAAAACTAGTTTTATTTAATGAGTGATGTGCTTGAAAACCTAAGAAACAAATATTTCGATAATGAAGTTCAAACAAAATTTAATTACGTCAATTTAAAGTCGCACTTAATTTAAAAGGTAAACTATCAAATTGAAACTTTTCTTTGGGTAGGCTTAGAAAATCTACACCTCAATCTATATTCCGACGACGAATATTATAATAATACAAAACGTACTAAAAACATACAAGAAAAGTGCGAAGTTACGATCGAAATTTCGTTTTTCGTTGAATTAGAGTAGGCCTCTTGGTGCAATAATTCCTACAATGCACCAGACAATTCACTAATATTTCACCCAGACAAACTGATGTAGAGCAAAGCGGTATTCCACTGGAATCGAAGCATCTACATGATTAAGTAACCTTACACGTTACAGTAAACTACAGTAAAATAACAGTACCATTTGGTGACCTTGTATTTCTTTTCATGGGCTAAAATTCCGGAAACTATCGGGTTAGGAGATTGTGTTCAGGCAAGCAAGCAATGTGATGAAAGATGGCAAGTACAACACACTTTTCTGCTACTTTTGTAGGCTCCTCTAACACTCAACATAAGGTGGGATAGGGAGATTTGATACACCTTGAATGAATGAATGAATGAATGATCACTTTATTGTACACCATGATATTTCAAAGGACAATTAATTAAAACTATTACATAATAGTACAAACGGCGGCCTTATCGCTAATAAGCAATTTCTTCCAGGCAACCGTATGTTAACTGGACTTTTATATAAGGTGTGGGAAGTAGATGGTGTCATTTAAAGTGCAACTACCATTAATAACACTTATAAAAAATTATGTACAACAAAAAAAATACAAATACTTAAACATAATATATCTTTATATAAACACATTAACACTTTAATCATCATCATCATCAGCCTATTAATGTCCCCACTGCTGGGGCACAGGCCTTCCCTATGGATGGAATAGGGAGATTGGGCCATGACCCACCACGCGGGCCCAGTGCGGATTGGTGGGTGATAACGACTGCAAATGCAGCCGGGACCAACGGCTTAACGTGCCTTCCGAAGCACGGAGGAGCTCGAGATAGTAAATTTTTGGTCACCCATCCAATGACCGACCACTGCGAAAGTTGCTTAACTTCAACGATCGCAGCCGAACGCGCTAGCCACCTGCGCCATCGAGCTCCTCTCGAACACTTTAATCATACTTTGGATATTGTGACGACCTGCTATAGTGTTCTTTTAACATTTTTTTAAAACAAGCTAATGTTTTAGCACCTCTGATTGTTTCTGGCAAGGCATTCCACAAACGAGCATCTTCACCTTGTACGAGATTGTATAAAAAAATGGAAAAGCACCTACCTCTATGAATTAATTCCTCAAAGCTAGTGACAACCAGCCCCTTCCTCACGTTCCTCGAGCTATCCCATATCTTGAAAGGCCTCTTTCCTCTAACCTCCTGTAGAAAACAGAAATCATTTGAAAAATCCATAATATCATTGGAAAACAATAACGGTCTTACTACAAAAAATGGTTGCCTGTAAAGTCGGTTTTACGGGCGAAGATTTTACGTGACAACGTCTTTTTCTCGGTAGAATATTTATTGATATGAATATAATTAAATTGCACAATAGGAACAAGGAATTGAATGAAAATAAGAATTGCACAAATTTTAACTATAGAAATATATTTTGGCTACTAAAACATTGTACATGTAAACTTAAACTTAACACGAGAGACTCATCGTAACGTTACCGAGCGTTACACTTTTTCATAAGTGACTCCCAGCCGCAACCTAATTTAAGACGTTGTCACGTCAAAAAGCTTGACACTGTTTTGAACCTTATTTACACAGAATTTGTATGACATTTATCCTTAAACTCGTGTTGAACGCATGTCAAACTTTTTTGCGGTAATAAGGTAAAGCTTTACTCATTATTTTCAAGAAAATTAATTAGCTTCTTTTATTTACTGAATGTCTGATAAAATAAATCTACAGCTTTATTATTTTAAAGGGATGGCCAAAAGCTAGTTTTGGTTAAATGATTCTACTAGGTCTTGTCTAACTATACAATATATATATATGTTATTAAGTTTTTAGAGAACACTTTAAAGTGCAATAGATCTTTCGTCGCGTTTATATGTTTTTGTCTAAAAAGTCATAAGGACATTGCCATTTAATAAAGTTTCAAATTAAACTAGACAGAAACAACTATTTCATTTGTTTTTCAGTCTTCAGTGAGCTCTTGGTCACATTGAATAATTTATAAGTCGCTGGTTGAGAAAAAGTTAGATTTAAAAATTGTGGCTTAATAATATAAATAAACCATGATTAAATAAAACTGTTTTTAAAATTCAATTATTTCTTAAAATATGATCAAACTGTACGAACCAACTAACATTGTATTCATGCTTTCAATTAACTTGTGGAATAAATTGTAAGGGTTGACCCTAATTGTACACTTTGTGCCGAAGTGACTAAGTCCCAAATCGAGTGACTCTATGAATAGTCAGGTTGTAGGGGAAACTGCAGTACAGGCGAGCTTAGCAGACAATACGTCGTTAGGGCCCACGGTCAGATCATCTGACGAAACGACTTAGGTACTTAACAGAATAGCAATCTCACCGAGGTATTTATCGTCATGCTCGAGTTGCAATTTTATTTTATTTCAAGAAATTAACGTATAGTTAATAGGTCAAACTCAAACATCACTCAAAGCCACTCGGACATACCCCATTGTGTCAAACATTTAGCACAAGATTACCGTAGTGTAACTAATTCATTGGACTTTTGATCAGATTTGATGTTAGACTGTATGGTCCTTCCTATAGGGAGATGTCCATAAGTAGCACACAATCTCAATGACCACGTGTGACACGGCAGCTATGTCATACATAGATTTAGTATTATTATCGTTTTAATGAAAAGCGTTGCTACGCCCAGGGGCTACGGCGTAGCACTGTACGCGTCCGTAGTGCGTATCGCGCGTCCGTAGCGCCTGCACTGGCTGGATGCAGCGGTGCAACGCCCTCGCCGCCCCCTCCCTGTCCCCCCTCCTACACCCTGCCTGCCCCCGCCCCCAGTTCCCCGCGGCTCGTTGGCCCCCGCGCCCCGCACGCACTGTGCGTTGACCCACTGACATCGCCGCCCTGTACGATCTTTAATCTAGACTTGTAAACCTGTCAACTAAAAAAAATCGTAGGTACATATTTTAGCATCCCTATCGAGACGGCTGCTGATATAAAATTTACTGTCGCTACGACGACGTTTCGACGTCCGGTGCAACGCTCACTATCAACGCATTGGGGTCGTAAAGAATCCATTACGCGCGTTCCGTAATGTGTTTCGCTTTCCGCAATTATTGGTTTTATAACGGCGACGACTTCCCGACGTACCTCCTGTATCTCGACTATCATCTTGTCACTTCACTCTGTAAAATGTGCGAGTGTTCGTGTTGAATATGTCGTGCGATGTGTGTCGAGGTCGCGGCGGCGAGGCGCGTGCGCGCCGCCGGAGCGCCGCGGCCGCACTGAGCGCGACTCGTGACCGGGTCGCGGCCCCGCCCCCCCCTCCGCCTCCCTTCACCCCTACTCCCCGCTCCCCGCCTCACCCCCGCGCTTGCCTAGTTCCCCCCTCTGCCGCCACCCAAGAGCGAGACCCCGCACTGCAGCGCTCGCCGTAATCTCTTGATACCGTAAGATCTTGAAATTAGCGATGATGCACTTTCCTTGCCTAAACGTTTTTGTAACAGTTGGAGAGGAGCGCTCTGCCTTTTCCTTTTGATGTAGGTAAGTTATTGCTCGCTTCTTACTTTGTGCTTTAAAGCATAAAGATGTTATAATGAGTAGGTACCATGAAAACTTAAAAAGGGAACGGTTAAATATATAAGTTCTTTTTTTTTTAAATAAAATCCGTAAAAGTTATTTTTAATTTAATATATTAATAATGCCACAAATTATAACGCGAGCGATTTCAAACCTCAATTTACGATTGTCACTATACCAGTACGACATTTCACAGTCTACTCTCTAAATTGTTGCACTTACAACTCTGTAAGTTTAATTAAAATAAATAAAAAAATCACATAATGAACAATTTTTGACGCATAAGAGTTAAACTCTCAAATTTGGAATGGAACTATATTGCTACGCTACGCCAACGCTACGAAACTCGTAGCTTCTTCTGCGGGATCGTAGTACCTAATCGTAGCATGTCATTTAGTTTTGTTCATAAAATAAAAGAAGAAATGAAAGAGATAAAAGAAAAGTGAATCATCATCAGCCTATTACTGTCCCCACTGCTAGGGCACAGGCCTTCCCTTTGGATGCAATAGGGAGATTGGGCCATGACCCACCAGGCGGGCTCAGTGCGGATTAATGGGTGCCGACGACTGCAGATGCAGCCGGGACCAACGGCTTAACGTGCCTTCCGAAGCACAGAAAGCTCGAGATGGTAAAATTTTGGTCAACCATCCAATGACCGACCACTGCGAAAGTTGCTTATCTTCAACGATCGCGGCCGAACGCGCTAAACACTTGCGCCATAGAGCTCCACAAACGGAATCAGTATAATAGATATTTACCTACGATAGAAACATCGCTGCGCCCACATATCACGAAACGTTTCGTAGCAATGAAGTGTTAAAGTCGGTGCGGAAAGAGAATGGGATTTAGATTGGAGGGCGCTGTAGTGCTTTTCTACCGTATTTGTAAGGTTTTACCCCTTTTCAACATGATTTAATACAAAAAACCGCAAGAAATCACAACAACAAACAAATCCGTATCAATACAAAACTTTGACATTTTACAGATTGCTGGGTTTCATTGCCAAATAAAATTCTTATAATGTTAGTTCCATTTTTCGCCACGCCCATTCTCTTTCCGCACAGACTCTAGTACCATCTGATTTCTATACTATTTTCTCGACTATCAGAGGCTTAGCATAGCGGAATGAGGGTTATCGCGTATGAATCCGCCGCTAGAGGCGCTAGTGTAGCGTGAGGTCTCCGAAATGTCAAATGTTATTGCTTGTTGGTTGACTACGCGGGTTTATTTCTAATTAAAATAATGTTGTGAATAATTATTCAAATAATTTATTACCAATTATAATTGGTAACAATTCGGCTTAATTATGGCAAATATGAGTTATGTGGCAATGAATGTCAGTTATTAAAAATTTGAGCTTAGAAAAATGATTATGTTCCCATTTTTTCCGAATAAAACGGAACTGCGCGTCACTGTGGCATGGCCTATTATGTTTATTAATAAACTTTAAAAGTTACAATTTAGGACCTCACTCAACAGTGGCGCCATCTGGCGAGGCAGAAAACGGCAAGGGCGGATCCAGTTTTAGCGCCAGGGGGGTTCATATACCCAGCTTTGGCCCAGGGGGGTGGTCATATAGTCGTGGTATATTAAATATTGAAAGTACTTAAATAAAATCCCCCTGGGTTTGGTCCATCTGTACCCAGCCCAGGGGGGGGGGGGTCATGACCCCCATGACCCCCATGACCCCCCCCCCTGGATCCGCCCTTGGAAAACGGTAGCCCTCATTGGAGCGTCCGTCTGGGGTAGTAACGTCCACCTTACAGAAGACCACAGTGAAGTGACTCTACCTTTTGGTGGTGTTGTGTTACTGATGGTGAGCAGGGTTCCAGGGTCCCACGGGGTAGGGGATCGGGTCGGGGTAGGCAACGGCGGGAGTGATTTTTGAAGTGCAAACTTCTTTAGCGGCTATGTACACTTTTTTTGTATCGGTAAAAATGTTAAACTCACGTCAGGTTAAACACGTGGGCTGATCGCATCATGACACGCAATAAAATTGGAAAGGTTGTTGACTTTCAATATATTGGACGGAACATAGTAATATTTTATTTTAACGTATTATATTAATAAGTCTCCATCTAGGACGTTTATTGCGAAGAAAATGCATTTTTTTACAATAAATGTCGCTAGGTGCGCTTAAATGTGATTCATGTAAGTTGCTTTTCCTGAGAAATAAACTTTTTTAATGTAATATAAATTGTCATGTTTGTGAACGATAGCGCAATAAATAAATATTGTATTCTACCACATACATGATAGTACTTTTATACAGATAATTAAACAAAATCGTGCAAAATTATTCCCTAACCATTCCAAAATATCAAAAATGCACAATATTCAAGTTTTCACTTCGGCCGGCACTACCCTGGGCCTGGATGAGGCCCTACTAGAATACCAGCGCTGTTACGGTGGGAATATTCCCGTCCCATAGTAATTAGCATTAAGCTGAGGCAGAGTCTTGATTGGCCTTTCTTTTCTCTCTGTCAAATGATATTTTTGGTATCGCAAGCGTTTATAGGTTACGGTGGCCCCTTACCCTGGGCCTGGATTAGGCCCTGCTAGAACACCAGCGCTGTTACTGTGGGAATATTCCCGTCCCATTGTAACAGGATTAAGCTGAGGCAGGGTCTTGATTGGCCTTTCTTCCCTCTCCGTATTGTTGTTATCTGTTTGTTTTCATTTTTATCGTTATACTAGCTGACCCGGCAAATATTGTTTTGCCATAGAAATTATTTCTAGGGAATTTCTTTAAAAATAGGGGTTTGCTGATGAAGGATGATAATTTGGGGTTGTATGTATTTTTAATTAATACCATATTATTAAAACGGAAAAGAAAAAAAAATGTGTCCAGAAAATCAAAATAAATGATAGGGGTGGACACCCCTTATCACTTAGGGATATAATAAAAAAAAGGTAGGGAAAAATAGATAGTAGCTGATTCTCAGACCTACTGGATATGCATTTAAAATTTCATAAAAATCGGTCAAGCCGTTTCGGAGGAGTATGGTTACTAACATTGTGACACGAGAATTTTATTTATAAGATAAAATTTCTTATTTTTACCTACTTGTGTTTTTTAGGTTAATAAATGATTTTTCTTTCTTGCTTTCTTGCCATCAGGCGGGACATGCTATAGGCTATTTGACAGTTTTAAAAATAATATACCAATTGTTAGGATCTGTATTGAATATGAACATTAGCAGTGATTTTACTATTCTGAAAAAAACAAATAATTAATAAATTTTCAATAAAATCATTTAAAAGAAATATGATTTTTTTTCACTCCATGGTCACGTGACCAAAAACGCCTAGGATTGGCCAAGATCACAATGACGTCACACGCTAGTACGCTTCCGGCCAAAGTGACATTACAATGTATCTTTCGACGTTTTAATGACAGTCGTGTGACGTCACACACTAGTGAGACGCCAATAATGTCCAGAGAAACGGTTTTACGACAACTTGACAAGTTTTTTTTATTGAATTACACAACTAATTTTAAATATTCACTTTTTACGGACTCCCTAAACATTAGTTAAAAACGTGAGATCGTTTTCTAAAACTCATCCTAACAATACCCTATTATTTTCCACCTTTTTAATATGTATATATTTTTGAAAAATACTTCTTTAGGCGCGTTATGAAAAAATGATGAGAGTGAAATTTTAAGATGCGCGCGCAATTCTGTAACACAAAATTTTAACAGCATGAAGTTGGTTGGACCAACTTCATGCGTTACTTTTGTGTTTTCCGCACATTAAGAAAATCTACCAACAAAATAGAAATAGAATCTCTATTTAGTGGGTGCTAACGACTGCATTGTGAAGGCCTATCAATAGTATAGTATTTATTAATCTGGAACAACGGAACCAAAGCGCGATTCAGGAGACTACAGCGCCATCTCTTGACCATTGGTGTAGTAGAACCAAAAACCACATCTTTATTTTTTGTAATAAAGTAACAGTTATCGGTATTCATATTTATAATATTTATCCACATGTTTCTAGTTTGTATATTCGGAATACGTGTTTGAGTTTCATACAAGTGCAAATCACATATGTTCTAATAAATTATATTCAGTAGCGATTTTAATTGAATATTTTGATTATTTATTTATTTTTTCAAATTAAAACTGAACTTTATTGACTGTGTCCTTTTCCAGACTTTTTATTAATTTATTGTAATTAATTATTTGCATGCAATTAAAAACTAATTTTAAACGATGCCAAAGAAGGATAACTTCTCACGCGCCTACATAAGTACACGCACCCATTTTTTTAAGTGTGGCTTGTATTGTAAATAATAAAACCATGAATGATAGCTATGAAGCTATGAAGCTATTAAAGCTTTAAGTTATTTTTTATTAGACTTATTCATTTACATATATTCAAAGTCTGATTTTCACAAATCAGTACCCCTAGCACGAACCATTATCGAATTCGAATAGTTTGCGAATGCGAAATGTCAAGGTCAAATTTTGTATGGAATCTTGAACAGCAGCGACACAAAGTACGTAACGAGAACTAAAAATCAGTACCCCTAGCACAAACCATTATCGAATTCGAATAGTTTGCAAACCGAAATGTCAATGTCAAATTTTGTATGG